GCAGGAATGTACCTACTTGTATAGTAGTATATCAGGATTTAAAAAAAAAGGATTATCTCTAGAAATGCAATTTGCAATTGCAGAGTCCAACTTTCATATAATGGAACAGCTCCAATTCCCCTTCTGTTTACTTTCCAGCGGCTCTGAGAAGAGTCTTTAGCAAGCTTCATTTTAAAATAGCAGAATGTAGAGACCTCACTGCAGAGGAAATCCGTAAGACTGTGAACATCTATCGGTGCGAAGACCACAAGGACAAAGACTGTTTTGTTTGCTGTATTCTGTCTCATGGGAAAAAAGGCATTATATATGGTGTCGATGGGCAGGAAGTCCCTATCCAGGAACTGACTACTTCTTTCACTGGACAGAATTGCCACTCACTTGCTGGAAAACCAAAAGTCTTTTTTGTTCAGGCCTGCCAAGGTGAAGCTTGCCAGAAGGGTGTGACTATCGAAACAGATTCTGGAGAGCAAGACTCTTCTGTAGAAACAGATGCAAGATTTCAGCTTGACTGCATCCCCGAAGAGGCAGACTTCCTCTTGGGCATGGCTACCCTGCAAGATTACGTTTCCTACAGAAACCCAAAGCAGGGGACCTGGTACATCCAGGCATTGTGCCAACACTTGGAGTACAGCTGTCCTCGGTAACTATGTTTCCCTAAGCTTCTTTTTGGCAACACCTGTATATTCCTTGTATGTTCCTTCTGAATGACAAAACTTTGATTGGGATGCAGGGGTAAGATCGTATGCAGTGGGAGTGCTCGCTCGGAGTGAAAACAGTAATGTAGGACAGAGCAACACCATGTAGATTGTTCAAAGCAGTTTATCTAACTGCTTTGAAGCCTGTTTAAAACGGGAGCCATTAGCACTGGTATAGATCAAGACATGAGAATGTGGTAATTTTTCTGATGTTAACTGCCTCCCTAATACAAAACATACTTGTGTTTTTGCAGAGGAGAAGATATTCTCACCATCCTGACAGCAGTGAATCAAGAGGTGAGCAGAAAGAGTTGCAAGCCAAATGCAGAGAAGCAGATGCCACAGCCCAGTTTCACACTAAGGAAAAAGCTAATCTTTCCTGTCAACTAAACAGGAGGGAACTGCATGGCAGAGGGAGCTGCAGCAGCCTGGAATTGGCTGTTATCAGCTGAGAATTGGGTAAAACATAACAGAGTTTCAGTGTCTGCTCTTACCAGAACAGGAAATGTTTTTATTGAAAATACAGCCAAGGAACAAAAGCCTTAGGAAATTAGTGTTAATATGTATGACACTTTATACTTGAGAGCATCTCTGAGCCGGTCTCCCATTTGTCGTTCGCTAGCTAAAACACACTATGTTTTCTATCAGCTGTACCACAGTGCTGTTGCTTTAGTAAGGTATCTTTCCAATGCAAATTTTAAGACAACTGTTACAAAGCCTTGTATATTTTATGCCTAACTTTTACAAAATAAAGGGGAGGGGGGTACTGCAACATTTATAGGATATAATCAGCTGACATCAGTGTGTTTTGTTACTTCTCTGCACCGTTCATTGTTTGTGTCTTGGTACACCTCAAGGAAGAGTCAAGCACTTGACCTCCAGCATCCTCAGCAGGACGTGGCTGTGACGTGCCATTTGGATTATCCTCTACCTAGATTAGTGTTAACAGTGAAAATCAGTTGCTGAGGTACAGCTTCATGTTTGAGGATGTCAAGTTATCATGTATGCACTTACCTTGCTCACCTTCAAGTCTCAGTTCTAGACACAGCAAAAGAAGAAGCAGCTAGATAAGTACCCCGCTTCTTAAAAACGTTTTTATATTGCTTCCTGTGATTAGTCTGCACATAGAACAGGGAGTTTTAAAAGCTCTGAGTAGAAGCTAAGCTTTCTTAGTCTCTCTGTTTTATTCTAAATGAGATGTTCATTCTGTTACACTCTTGTTACAGCTTTCAGTGTTAGTAATGGCATCAATGTAGGTGGTTATTTAACTGAACAGACACATCTTCACTGAAATTATTTTAAGAGCCTAAGCCCTTCCCTGGACTCTTGTGCTGAATAATACTCCTCTCTTTGGTACCAGTTTGTGTCTGTAAAGAGAAGGGCAGAATGATGATAGATTGTGAAAATGGTTAGAATCTTAACAACTGGCAGATGCAGCAAGCAGTTACAGAAACAGGCAAATACGTGCTTCCAAATTCTAGGAGTAATTTTCCAAGACAGTTGTTGATGCTCATTTACGGATTCATCATGAAACTGTTGAGAGCTGTTCTGAAGCAAGGACAGCTTATATAGAGAAGTTTGTATATTACTTGTATGTGGCCAGAAATGTGCAATCCAAGTGAAAGAAACACAATTTTTCTTAGATATTGCACAAAAACTATAAGCAAACAAGCATAGTACTCCATGGACAAAATAATTAATGCAGCCTGTTTTACTGTGGATTTTCTTCCTAGATCCTCTCTCTCCACACATTACTTGGCACTTTACCTCCTACAAGTCACCTATGTTCTTCATCAACTTTCAGCTCTGTGCCTGTGTCCTGGGCTCCTTCCCCTCCAACACTAACTACTCTGCCTGTCACATTGTGGATCCAGCCAGGGATCAGGCAGAGCAGAAGTACTGAACTCTCACAGTTCCCTTTCCTTTAGAGGGAGGGGCTAGATCTTCCTTGGTCTGCATTGTTGACAAAATCTTAAGTGAGACAAGAGATTCTGAAGTCAAAGGTGTCTGACTGAGAGCATGCTCATGTAGACAACTTTTTCCCTAGGAATCAAAAAGATTAAGCAACTACAAACAGTTGTCTACGCTCAAGGAACTAGTTTTCTCAGGAGTTCATGGTATAAAAATTTGGGGGACTTTTCCAGCAATAATTAATACATGCTATAAACAAGGTCTTATAAGAGGAGATTCCTAATAATGTATTATGAATCTGTTTAGGAATTCTTTGTCAGTTAGGAATCAAATCTGTCAGTTATCAGTCTCCCCAATTAGTCTCCTCCTATAAAGCAGCTGATGTCTAGCCAATTCACAAGGAATCCTAGCAGCTCCACAGGCCAATGAGACTCATTCATATGAAGGAAGCAGGCAGTTCTGGCTCATACTGACTTGGGGTGTCATCATCATGTCCCTCCACTTCGTGCTGTCTTGTTCTTAGTGTTATTATATACACATATACAAATGAGTGATACTCAGTGATATTGCTCACCACCTGCTGACCAAGGCTCAGCCCATTCCTGGCTAACAATCCCAGAGCAGGGAGAGTCCTGAAACCACAATTCTGGAAAAGAAATAAGAGCAAGAGCTGACAAAATTACCTCCTTGCTAGTGAAGGAAACTTAGTCAACATGTCTTGCAACCCAGACAGTGGTGGTCGGTCCAGTTTGCAGGTGAATCCTGACTAACCATTTATAGGTTTGACAATTACAGAGAACAGTGGGAAGAAAATGTCTCCTCACCTCATAAGCTTCAGCATCTAAAAAGTTGAGCTGAAAAGTCAACTTCAGTCTGACAAGAGTTCACACCCTTCTCCCTCTTCTCATGTCAGAAAAATAAGAAAGCTAAATAAATGCAGGATACTTACCATAGGATAATGGTGGTTCTTGGTTTGAGATGTCATGCACACAGACTACTAGAACCACTGTCAATAATTGTTAGACTAATTCAAGCAAGAACCTGTTAACTGCAAATCAATGTTGTTCCCGTTCTGTACCACTGAAGGAACAGAGTTTTGGGAAAAATGATCTGAACCTTCCAGCCTGAAAAGTGAGTGCAGGCGCTTTTGCTAAAGGTGGCATGCACAGCCCCAAGCTGACCCAAGTGGCAAGAATTTGGCACCTCTGTGCCAAGTCAACTGCAGGGAGACCTTACACAAGGGGAGTACTCTTCAAGGGTAAGTAGCTTGGTTTACATCTACCTCAATTTTTATCACAAATACAGAGGGCTGACATAACAGGAGGAAAAAAACCCAAAACACCACACACAACCACCCCCCCGCCCCGGCCCCAAGCACCAGAAAACATGAACAAATACATTTGAAGTGAGGCTCACATGCCAATATTCTGTCTAGAGGTTGATGAGCTATTCTTAATTTTTGAAGTTTTTCATTCTCAAACTGTACAGAGAAGGTACTCTGTAAGCGTTCTGTTCTAGACTTACGCATCGCACATTTACTGTGCAAAGTCAGACCACAGCACATCTGCCACCTTTAACTGCTTAAGTGTAAACACAACAGCAAACAGCCCCACACAGCCTGATCAGGTTTTTAAATCAATGTCTCAGCTTTTACAGCCATCACCTGTGCAAATACCAAGTCACTAAGCTTGTGTACACTATAACAATCACTAAATGTTAGCCAAAAAAGGCCCAATTCTATGTTTATTAGTACACTGTACTATAGAAGATGACATCTGGAACAAACCACACAAGATAACCGATATACTGAAAAATGGCATGTTATACATGTTTATTAACAAATTTACATTCCACTATGAAACCACAATAAGTGCAAAAAGCAGATGAAAAAAACAGCATGAAGTTCCCAAACCATTCAAACATTGTGTGTAATCTCTGTGTAACAGCCAAATGAGGTCCAAACCCAATATGCTTCTTCCCTCTCTGCTGCTGTTTGACTCCAGTAGACTTTTAACTTTGACCACAGGTATTTTAAACATGCAGGTATCGCTGAGTTTATAAAAAACAGTAAAACTAGAAAGCTATAATAAGTTTGTGCTTGGTTTAAGCCAATCTGAATAAAGGTAAGTACTATAAGAATTTCCTTCTCATTCTCTTGAAACTTTCACAAGGGTAACTCCTTTCTAGCATCTGTTTTTGTCTCAAACCTGCAAGATAACAGAATGTCTCTGAAATGCAATTCTCCATTACTTCTACCTCCTGCTCAACAAACTCACACTTGTGCCGGATCAAAAGATCTTGTGCAGGATCTCAGCTATCTTAGTCATGCAAGTTTGTCTCCTCTCTTGTGGGAGGCAACGGAAGCCAAATCAGTTCCTAGAATGATGGCAACTTTTAGTGTGTTCTCAGAAATACCTAAGTTATTAAAAAAAGTTTATCTTCTAGGTTTTGGCACAAAACAGTAAACTTGGAAGAAGTACCAGTTTTCCCCGTTGCTGCAGGCTAGGTACATATATACAAAATGCACGTTGACCATCCAAAGGTATAAATGCATGACAGAATTTCAACAACACTGCACCACAGCATCAACCAACTGGATAAACACACAGACACAATGGTATACAGATTCTTCCATTTTCTTCTTGCCTTGTGTAAAGTACCTGATGATACATCATCCTACAGAAAACAAACAAACCAATCTCTGGACATATCCACAGTATTGTTTGAACTGAACCAGTTTATATAGTTGGGCTACGGAATATGGAAGTGTCCTAAAGAGAAACATGCATTTAATTAATGTGGTTTTAGATTAATTTTAACTGAAACCTGATTTGCCAAAGGAATTCTGATTTAGTTGATTTGCTGCCTCTGCTGGTAACACACAATGATCCAATGTCTGAAGTTATCTAATGAAGCTAGTTAGAAACACAGAGTGATCTGTAAATTACATGTATTCCTACAATAAACACACATAAAATGAACATACTTTTGACACACTGTACACTTGTCTATTGATACCAAATTGTCTGATCTTTTGTTACCTCATCCCTACAAGTTACAAATACACAGCAGACATACCCGTCTTAGCTCAGTGGAGAGAAAAATTATCTCCTCCCACTCCTTTCACTCTTACCTTATTATAACTAGGTAGGACCCCAGGCACAGCTAAGTACATACAAACATAAATACTTAAGAGGAAGAAATTAAATATTTTTCATTTAAAAACCAAAATTAACCCGTATATAGTATATTAAATAAAATTCACCTTTTATGATTTTGCTTAGAGAGCAAAAGCCAACTCCAGGAGTTCCTGAATGTTTCTGTGCGCTGCTGACAAGTTTCTGCTAAAAATCCCTGTGCAAGTTTGAAGTGGTTACTCCTTTTCCTTTTACAAAAAAAAGACCGTTATATCAAAGAGTCATCACAAGATCTATAGAACCATAAAAGCAGAAAGGCCACATTACAAATTTCCTATAAACTAGGTTAAGAAGCTTTCTTTTCCCACCATACTCCACTCAACTCTGCAACATCAAGGGTGCTGATTATGGTGGATGTGC